AACTCACAGCAATCTCAAACCCTTGGGCTTATGGAATTCTCTTGCCTCAGCCTCCCAAGTAGCTGGGACTACAGGTGCCCGCCACAACACCCGGCTGTTTTTTTGTTGCAGTTGTTCAGCTGTTGTTTAGCTGGCCTGGGCCGGGTTCAAACCCACCACCTTTGGTGTATGTGGCTGGCACCGACCGTAACCACTGTGTTATAGGTGCCGAGTCGAAAATAATGGAATTTTTAAAATTGCTTTTGTTATGAACTTTCATTAACATTTTTAATCTCCCTCCGTTTCCTCAAATATCTGGCTATCTGTACCGAGGCAAAATGTGTGTTTTCTGTGCAGGCCTAGGTTAAAATTTATTCATTTTGTTTTAGAAGCACCAGAGGCAGTTTAAAATAGGCTTTCCTCAGTTATTTCTTCTAAGTGTGTACACTAGAACATAAACCTGAAATTTTAATAAAGGCAAATTACATGAAAAAATCCAGCCGATATTAAGTAAAAGAAATTATTACAGGATTTCAGAGGGCTTTTTTATTTTTCTTTATACTTCAGTGGAGTGAATTTAAATCCAAAAGAATTTTAGGCAGGTTATTAAAAATGTGATATCACAATGGTGTAAAAATAAATAGTCAAGGAAATTGGTGAGATGATAGTAAAAGTAGGGACGCAGTAAGCCAAGAATGAGATTTTAATGCCTGTCAAGGTATCTATGCAGGTACTTACAGCTGAATGGTGTGTAATATGGTTGGAAATTTCTCAGAGGGTTTCCTAGTGGGGGAAAGCCACCAGATTTAAAGGGCCGATGAACTTGGGATTGACTCCTATCAGCTGACATTTACAAGCTGGGTATCATTTCTGAGTTTGAATATCCTGATCTGTAAAATAGGGATGATATTTACTGGTTGGAAGTATTAAATTCTAATGATGCACTAAAAGTTCCTTGCTTGATGTCTGACAGAATAAGCATTCAGTAATTGGTAGCTTAAAGAGATACATTTAATCATGAACTTAAGTGACATCTTTCTGTTTTTTGTGATGAGTGTATGTATTTAAATTATCCAAAACTGGTTTCAGTCATTAACATACAAACTAAAAGGAAGTGAGGCTGGAATTCAGAGTTTGAAGACTTACAGTAACCAAGGATATTCTATTCTAAATGGTACCCTACCAGAATGATACCACTGACAAGCTTGCAAGAACTTTTTTAAAAGTAACAGGCAAGGGCATCACCTGTGGCTCAAAGGAGTAGGGCGTTGGCCCCATGTACTGGAGGTGGCAGGTTCAAACCCAGCCCTGTCAAAACTGCAAAAAAAAAAAAAAAGGGCAGTGCCTGGGGCCCAAAAGAGTAGGGCACCAGCCTCATATGCCAGAGGTGGTGGGTTTGAGCCCAGCCCTAGCCAAAAACTGCAAAAAAAAAAAATTAACAGGCAAATTATTTTCTTAGTGATACATTTTATTTCTCCATGGAGACAGTCACTAGGATAACCAGGTAATTGGTGCAGATTTAAGGTGTTGCTAGTGATAATAAGTGAGACGCTATAAAGTGAAAATCAGAAGAATTTAGACCTTAATCAGATTAGAGGACAGAAGAGAAAGGGAAAGGAAAATGATTTTTTTTCCTGTGAAATGTTCACAAATAGAAAAATGGTGTTACCATGAATAAAAATAGAAAGCAAGAAAAATCGGTAGGGACTGAAGATGAATTCT